TGGCCTAAAGACTTCCTCTATTTTTTTGATTAATTTAATTCCTGATTTTAATGGATCCTCTAATATGAATACCATATCGTCCAAAAATGCCTGTCTTATATTCCTCTTTTTAAATTTTTAATCCCTTTATTTCTTGATTGTTTCTAATTTCTGTTAGTAGAACTTCCAGTGATAGTATAAATAATAAAGATGATAATGGACAACCCTGTCTCGCTCCTTTCCATATCTTAACTTCTTCTGTAGTAACACTTATTATTTTTGCTGTCTGGGTCGAATAAATTGATTCTATCATTTTTATAATTTTTTCTCCAAATCTCATCATTTTTAACTGTGTAATTATGAAATGCCAATTCAAGTTATCAAAGGCCTTCTGGGCGTCTAAGAAGACCAGTGCAACTTCTTTTCCCGGATTCTATTCATAATATCCTAATGTATTTATAATTATCCTCATATTGCTTTTTAATTGTCGTTTTGGTAAGAAGCTGTTTTGATCTGTGTGGATAATTTCATTTAAAATTTTTTAAATTCGCTCTGCCATTATTAATGTAAAGATTTGATAATCTGCATTTAGTAAAGAAATTGGTCTGTAATTTTTTGTTTGTTGGTGGTCTGAATCGTCTTTGGGTGTTATATATGCTTCCCTCCATGATTTTGGCAACTTTGCTTCTATAAGAGCATCATTAAATAAGTCTAAAATCACTGTTTCTGTCTGCTCTTGCATGGCTTTATAAAATTCTACAGGTATACTGTCTTGTAATATATTTTCTTTGCTGTACAGATTCTCGAAAAATTCTGTACTACTTTTTTTCCTCTTTCCAGTATTGTATGTTTCCCCTTTCATCTTGTAAGTATTATTGTTTTTTCTTTTTCTTTTTTCAATTTGTGTGTGCTAACCATTTTCCCGCTTTATTCGCATTTTCAAAATAGTTTTGTTTTGCAAATTTGATTTTTTTAGGGCCATCTCTTTTTGTGTCATCAAATTTAATTTGTGCTTTATTAGTTCTTTTTTCTCCTTTATGTTTTGATTCTTGTGGGGGTTTTTTTGCAGGTCCATTTCCAATTCTTTAAGTTCTTTCTCTAATGATTCTTGTTTTTGTCTTTTTTCCTTGTTTTCTCTTGCTAAATATTGTCAACCCTCTTGTAAAAGCTTTTGTAGTATCCCATAAATTTGGTAACAATGTTTCTTCTTTCTTATTTACTTCGT